CCTTAACTTGTGGGGTATGGGCTAACTCTGAACAGTTAGTGACAGCTGAATTGAATTGTTAGACACCCAGTTGGTGTTGGAGAATTCGAAAATTAGTTGGCATGAGGGAAAAAACTTCTCAGTGATAATAAGACTAAAGGTTACATGATGGATTACCTAGAAGTTAAGGATTTCTGGAGATGATTTAGGTAAATAGTTACAACATATAAAGTTATTAGTCCTATGGTCTTTTCAGAGTGTTTTAGTCTGTTTTCTGCTGCTGTAACAGAATACCACAGACTGGGTAATTTATAAAGAGGTTTATTTGGCTCATGGTTTAGAAGGCTGGGAAATTCCTCACGGCCTAAGCACCTTTAAAAGCCCCACCTCTGAATACAGTTCCAATCACAGTTAAGTATCCAACACATATGAACTTCTGGGGGATACATTCAAACCACAGCAGAGGATAAATAATAATCAGTTCCAATAAGAGTTTCTTTCTTGGCATTAGACCTATGGTTTATAGTCTTGAGATGAGTGATAGCTAAACATCCATTCAATTTAATGTATTTGCACAATTATTCAAAAACACTTTTGGTGTATTGCCATTCTTATGACTCCCTTTTTGCAAGTAGAAACAATAACATTGTGGGAGTTTTTCTAATTTCCTTAAGCTGCCTACCCAAGCCCCACTTCCTTCTCTAGTGATCTCCTCCTCTAGTTAAAGAAAAAAATTGAAGCTATTGGACAGGATCTTACTTTAAATCTTTGCTTTTACCTCTCCCCCAACCAGTAAACCTGCTCTTATATTCTGATCTTGAGGCATAAAGAGTTCCTCTTCTCCTATTCAAAACCTTCTATCTTTGTTTTTGATACCATCTCCTTCTACTTCTTCTAAGATGTTGCTCCATCAATGACCATTCCTCTATTCTATATCTTTATGCTATCCCTATTTACTGGCATTTGATTATAAGCACACTTATGTCTCTCTCTCTTCAAGAACAAAATAAAACCAAACAAAACCTTCCCATGACTCTATCAGGTACTGCCTTAACTCTGTCTTTCTTGTCTCTGCCAACATTGTAAAAAGAACAGTCTTCATTCACAATCTATTTCTTTACTTTTTATTCACTTCCCAACCCACTGTAATGTATCTACAGCATTCCTACAACTCTGCTGAAATTACTCCATCAAAAGTCATTAATGATCTCCATGTTGCCAAGCCTAACAGCTACCTTTCCATTCTTAGCTTTCTGGATCTTTCCATTGCATTTTACACCATCGATCACATTCTTTCCTTAAATTCCTTGGTTTTCATGACACTATTCTCTCTCCTGGTTCTCCTATCTCTAAAATTATTCCTGCTGCCATCATCTTAGTGTTCCCTAGATTTTCATTCATGAATCAATCCTTTTTCCTTTCTATATGTTCTCATTAGGCAAAAGACGGAACTAGTCAAGAAGTTCATAGAAGACTTCATGCCTTTAATTTATACCTCTAAATTATGCTATATGCTGATGATTTCCCAATTTCCAGCCCTAATCTGTTCTTTGAGCTGTGCACTCATATCCAGCTAGCAGTAGGAAATCCTTTACTTGGATATTTCACAGGCACTTCAAACTCAGTGTGTCCAAAACTAAACACATTATTTTTCCCCGTAAAGTAGCTCCTCCTCCCACATTCATTCATTCTCTCCCTCTCTCTCTCTCACTCTCT